CTCTACCACTGAGCTAAATCCCCAACCCCTCTTTCTTTCTTTCTTTCTTTCTTTCTTTCTTTCTTTCTTTCTTTCTTCCTTTCTTTCCTCTTTTTTTTGAGACTCAATATGTATCTCTGGCTGTCCTGGAAATCACTATGTAGAGTGAGCTGTGTGCCGCTGTGCCAGGCTTTGAGTATGAGCTTTCTTTTTGGTTGAGGAAGACCTTGTACTTCTGATCACTTCACTTCCACCAAGTGCTGGGGTTACTGCTGTGTGTCACTATGCACACACGAGTAATGGGCTTTAAAAAACACATGTACCTATGGTGACTCAGAAATTGTGGCTCCCCAAATGCTGGTCCCCACCTTTCCAGTAGCATTCCTGGGGTGGGTTCCAGCAATCCGAACCCTCTAGGTCATTGTGATATACGGGAAAGTTTCAAATTTTCTACTTAAGAAAAGCTTAGGAGAGGCTATAGAGATGTCTCAGCAAAATGGCTCAACAGGTAAGGTTTTTGCTTCTGGGCATGAAGACCTGAGTTAAATCCCCAGGACTCACATGATGGAAGGAGAGAACGGCCTCCCTGCAAGCCACCTTCTGGCTTCCACATGTGCTCTCCTTTCCTAATATATAAGGACATACATGATTAAAAAATACATTAAAGATCTGAGTTGCCGGGCGGTGGTGGCGCACGCCTTTAATCCCAGCACTTGGGAGGCAGAGGCAGGCGGATTTCTGAGTTCGAGAGTTCGAGGCTAGCCTGGTCTACAGCGTGAGTTCCAGGACAGCCAGGGCTACACAGAGAAACCCTGTCTCGAAAAACCAAAAAAAAAAAAAAAAAAAAACAAGATCTGAGTTTAGCTCAGTGGTAGTAGGATTCTTGCTGGTTGGGTATGTGTTGGGCTCTACGTGCAATCTCCATCCAAAAGGAAAATAAGATAGCATTCTCTATCCAAGCAGGCTGACCTCCTTATAGGTGGTCTCAAGAACTCCCCCCTCCCCTCAGCCCCCCAAGTGCTGAGTCAGTGAGTCACTGTGAGGGGACTTATGTGGGCACTGGGGAGGGAATCCAGGATCTAAGGCTTCCTAGGCAAGAACTATCAGCTGAGCTAACTAACCCCCCAGCCTAGGGCATCCCTTCTCAGTAGTGAGTCCCTGCATGGGGACAACTCAGGTTTAGTCTGAGCATCAGTGGAGAGGACACAGGACACTGTCATGAGGGCCCGGGTCTGAGTAAGCTGTGTCTCCTGTCTTCTAGTCTGACCTCCAGCCAGACAGGCAACTGAGGATGATTTTGAACTTCTAAGCCTTCCATCTTTCAAGTGCTGGCTTTTACTCTGGGTACCAGTATCCTGGTTTATGCAATGCTGCAGATTGAACCCAGGATTCAGGAACTCTGGTTAGCATCTCCTAGCTGAGCTACAGCCCCAGCCTCCGGGCTTGCCCCAGTAAAGGGCAGGAGAAGTGTCCCTTGGAAGGAAAACCCGGGGAAGGCATTGGTGTGTACAGGCACCAGTTCACAAGGCTGCAGTTAAAACAGCGATCTGAGGCCCAGGGGAACTTCAGCACAGCGTCTGTCCAGCCACACCGGCTCAGCGGGCCTCCCCGTTTTGTGCCTCCCAGGGTCTTTGAACACTTGGAAATGCTGGACCACCTAGGGCTCAGAGGGGAATAGACCAGCTTGTCTGAATTCCCACATCCCCTATTCGGCCCCATGTGATACGGGCCAATTGCTTCCAACTTCTGAGCCTCAGTGTCCCCCTCAGGGAAGTGCTGCGGTGGGAATGCCTCCCTGAAAGGGCTGCCCAGAGAGAAGGGACCGGGCCAGTGCCCCGCCCCCACCCCAGCGCGGGAGCCTGCCCTAGAGGCCCTGTCTTAATCACCATGCAATAACAGCCGCTGTTTACGAAGCACTCAGGCTCTGGTTGGCAGGTGTCGTCATTCATCCCTGTTACACGGGCAGGGAAACAGGCTCGGAGAGGGCAACTGGCCACGGTGCTACCCCTCGAACCCAGGACCCTTGCTCCCAGGTGTTCATGTCAACTTCACGTGGGCTGGAGCCTCCCGGATCATAGCGTTGTCTGTCTGTCCCTCACAGCAGAGTCTGCCAGTGGCCTGCTGGAAAGAAGCCCAGCGCTGTTCGGAGGCTTGGAAGCTTCTCAGAACCGGGACAGACTAAGGGGCCAGGCCCCAGCTGTTGCCACGCTGCCCAGAGCCGGCTGTGGAGGGCAGGCTTGACGGAGCAGCAAAGCTTGCACAGGGGAATTAGCAGCATCTGTGTCCTGACATGGGACGTCAGGAATGTGAGACAGCCCCAGCAACTGTGTGCCTGCCAGGGACGTTGGCAGGGAGGGGCTGAGGGCAGGCCATCCAAGCCTTCCTGGACTCCAGAAATTACCAGGCAGCAGCTGTTCCTATCACTCTGAGCAAGCTGGTTTCTGGGCTCTGATATGCACAGAACTCTGGGTGTCTGTTTAGCTGTTCTAGGGAATCCTGTTTTTTGTTTGGTCCTGTCTTCACAGTACTGGTAATCAAATCTGAGTCCTCTTTGTTTGTTTCTTGTTTTGTTTTGTTTTTTTTTGCTACCAGGCTTTACTCCTTAGCCTTGGCCTGACTGGACGTCACTATGTAGAGCAGGCTGGCCCAAACTCACTGCGATCTGTTTAGCTCTGCCTCTCAGTTGTAGGGCTTCAGGCTTGTGCCGTCACGTCTGGCCTGCTTTGATTTTAATCTTTTTCTTTTTAAAGACTATGTCTCACCCTGTAGCTCAGGCTGGCCTATAACTCATTCCGTGTCCCAGGCTGGCTTTAAATTTGAGGGGATCTTCTTGCCTCTGAGTGTGTGTGTGTGTGGGGGGGGTATTACAGGCTTGAACCCGACATTCCTGAATTTTTATTTATTTCTGGAGACAAGATCTGTTCCTTACCCCAGGCTGGCCTCCAGCTCCAGCTGATCCACCTGTTTAGCCTTCTGAGTGGAGTCTTCCTTTTCCTCTCTGAGGTAGTCTCACTATGTCCTCCTGAGACCCAGAAATTATCAGGCAGAAGCTGTCCCATTGATTCTGAGCAACCAGGTTCTGGCCTCTGATATGCATAGCCAGGGCCTATTGAGAACCCAGGGTGTCAGCTCAGTCCTATCATGGAACCCAAGATGTATCCCAGGCTGATTTCAAACTCCTAATTTAAAAAAAAATATTTTATTTTTAATTATGTGTATTTGTGTCTGAATGTGGGTATGTGTACATTGCATACAGGTGCCAGCAGAGGCCAAAAGAGGCCCCCTAGAACTGAAGTTAGAGCTGGTTGTAAGCCACACATAGGGGATTTGGGAACTGAACTCAGGTTCTCTGCATGTGCTCTGGGCACCCTTAATTACTGAGCCATCTCTCCAGTCCCATTCCCAATTCTTTTTTTTTGTTTTTTGTTTTTCGAGGCAGGGTTTCTCTGTGTAGCCCTGGCTGTCCTGGAACTCACTCTGTAGACCAGGCTGGCCTCGAACTCAGAAATCCACCTGCCTCTGCGTCCCAAGTGCTAGGATTAAAGGTGTGCGCCACCACTGCCTGGCCCTATTCCCAATTCTTAAATTTGAGAGATTATCCTTGCTTCAGTCTCCTTAGTAGCTTGGACTAGAGGAGGGTAACACTGCACTAGATACAGCCCTTGGTTTCACGGAAGGGCAGACAGCCTCTGAGGTAAAGCTGTGCTCAGAGACCATCAGGTGACTCAAGAGTAGCCATGGGCCAGCAGTGGAACAGTGGACCATGGGGTTTCTGGTCTGCATCTCACGGACCTTATACTTCATCCCAACCTCCCAATCTTTTCCAGACCCAGGCAAACCCAAGGAATCTGCCACAAAACGGTCATCTGGAGTGGTGACAGGACTCAGTCACTGACTAGTAATCCCTAACAGGAGACTTAGTTTGGAAGCAGGTCTCAATCAGAGTGTGTGGTTATTATGTATGGTACTTACACAGGGAACCAAATGTGTGTGCGATATATAATTGTTCTTAGTTTTATTCTTTTTATATATGTGAATTTTTTACCTGCATGTATGTGTCTATGTGTACAGTGCCCATGGAAGTCAAAAGAGGGTTTTTTGGCTGCCTAGGAACTGGAGTTACAGATGCTAGTAGTGGTGCTGGGAATCAAACCCGGGTCCTGGGGGAAAGTTATGGGTGCTCTTAAATAATGAGCCATCTCTTTAGCGCTACCCTTAAATTCTTACGCTAGTCTCTGAAGCCTAAATACATTTGCAGTCTTCACTCCAGAGAGATCATGGGAACCAGGGAGCAGAAAGTCTGGGACCACTTTTGGCCTCTCCCTGTCCACCCTAAGCTTCAGGGTTAGGGAGAAGCTGAAGCCGCCAGGACAGAGTCCAGTAAGTTTCCAGGCTCAGAGCTCTGGGAAGCTGATCCCTCTGGGGTGGGGGCTGAGAACAGGGTTGTAACAGCCTCCAGGGAGGATCATGCAAGTGGGGACAGCTGCAGCTCAGCCAGGCGGCAACCAGCTGCTGCCTGGGAGACAGGCCAGGGCCAGGCAGGGCGGGCACAGCCCCCACAAGCCCTGAGCCTGAGCTGGCAGATCCAGACCGTGGGAGCAGGCAGTGGCTGGAGGGTTGATTTCACATTTTCGTGCTGTGTTAACGGTCAGTTTGGTTAATGCTGAGCAGATGGGGGAGGGGACGTCAGCTCCCTTGGGGATAGCTGTGGGCCAAACATGTCTGCATATGCAGAGGATACAGGACCTGCCTTACAGATGGTACAGCGTGGGCCCCTCTGCCCATGAGTGCTCACTCCCTCACCACTGCATACACAAGGATGATTCTGTAGGACAGACGACAAAGGCAAGGGTGAGTATCTGCTTCTGAGTCTGCTAGAACACAGCTGGAGGCAGAAGCCAGACAAAGGCCTGGCACCGGCGCCCTCCACCCCCCCAACCCCCCAGTCATCTGTGTCACCCAGACTGAACTCCCAACACAGAGAGTCTTCCCACCCTACGCCCTGCCACTCTGGGAAGACACCAGGCATACAGAGATTTATTTCAAAAAAATAATTTATAAAATGCCATGTTCTTCTGTCTTTTCCACAGGTTTCTCTTCTCTCAGGGACACCAGAGCTGATGGCCCTGTCACCAAGATGCTGGAACAAGCAAAGGGGCTGGGGTAGAGGTGAGGCTTGTGGGCTGGGGGCAGTGAAGTCCCGAGGCCTCTAGGTTGTTTGGGGGGACTAAAAATGTTTAGGACAAAAGCTTTGCAGCCAGGCCTGGAGAACCCCTGGGATGGAGGCTATGTGTCAAGGCCTCAATGCTTAGCTTCTCTGAGGATGAGTCCAAGGATGAGGCCATGATCTTGAGGCTAGAGTTGAACTCGGAGTTGGGAACATAAGGCTAGAACAGAAGGCCTGAACTATGTATGAACCTTAGGACCAAGAATGAGCGTCCCCAACACAGGGCCAGAGAGAGGATCTGAGACAGCAGTAGTCTCAAGTCAGAGACTACTCAAGTACTTGAGTAGACTCAAGTCAGAGTCTGACACTGCCAATGTCAAATGCTGATACATCAGGTTGCAGCCGAGCTAGGAGACCCACAGCCATGGGCCTACCAGCCTGTACGACACTGTTCCCCGGTTCATGTTGTCTGCCCATCAGGGAAAGGGAAGGGGCTTGGCTCGAGCGGCAAAGGGTCGTGGCTGAAAACCGAGTCACTAGAGGAACAGGTGCTGCTGGCATCCCCATTGGAGGGAGAAAAGGGTCCAAAGGTCAGGCGGAGGTCAAGGTACTGCAAGGAACAGAGCTAGTCAGCTTCCGGCCTCAGGGACAGGATGCTTCATGGTCATGTCCCTAGGTCATGGGAGCGGGCAGAGAGAGGGCATGGTGCAGGAATGGGCAGTACCTCTTCAGAGACAGCCAGCAGGACCTTGTCTAGAGCTTCCACCAGCTGCTTAAAAGTAGGCCTCTGAGAGGGAGCTGCATGCCAACACTCCCTCATTAGCCCATACCTGGGAACGGGTCAAAGAAGCTTATGTGTAGGGTGGGCAAAATAAGGACGGTGGGCTAGCGGGGTGGTGGTGGTGGGTGGGTAGGTGGGGAATGGGCTGGGAGGCCTCCCACCCCAGGATAAGCAGGGCAGTTTAGTTGCTGAGTAGGCAACAAGACAGGACACCATGGGCTGTGGAGAAAAAGAGTGGAGACCATGGGTGGAGACAGTACTGGTCTATGGCCAGGGCCAAAAGCTGACGTCAAAGTCAGGACCGAGGATGAGGTCTGGACACTGGGGCAAGGAGGGTGATCTTACAGCTCTGAGGGGCAGTTTGGGGGCCGCTCCATCCTGTGCCCCTCTCGCAGCAGTGAAAACAGCTCCTCCACTGGGATGCCAGGGTATGGGGAGCCCCCGAGGGTGAAGATTTCCCACAGCAGGATCCCAAAAGACCACCTGGAAGGCAGAACTGCGGCTCACCAGGGCCCAGCTTCCTTCCTTTCTCCTTGAAGCTGTGCAAAGGCTATAGCAGTCGCGAGTCACCCTTAGGGACAGGGAGGGAGACTCCTTTCTTTCAGAGTATCAGAGGAACTCCTAAGATCTTGTGACTTTGTCAAGCGCCTTGCCCTTTTAGAGCGGATGGACGACTTGAAGACAGGCAGGAGCCAGCTTAGAACCCCTGACTCACACATCGCTCTGGTGTGTGTATACACGGTCAAACAACGCCTCAGGAGCCATCCACTTGACTGGCAGGCGGCCCTGGAGGAAGGAGGCGGGGACAGTGGTGTGAGTAGTACCTAACCCTTTCAGGCCTAGTCCCCGCCCCACTCCCATGAATCTCCGCAGTGCCCCTCACATTGCTGGTTTTCTTATAGTAGTCAATGTGGTGGACACCACGGGCCAGGCCAAAGTCAGCGATCTTCATCACATCATCCTCGGTCACCAGCACATTTCGGGCAGCCAGGTCCCGGTGGATGCACTGAGGACAGGGTAGGGAACTTAGGAGTATCAATCAGGACGCATGTCTGGGAGTTCGTCATTTCACAGCAAGCCCAGGGGCCAGAGTCACTCAACCCCCGAATAGATGAAATGGAATGGGCAAAAGTCTGGGCTGAATCCCCAGAACCAGAAAGAGAAAAAGAAAGAGGCACGTTTGTTCAGAGCCCACGCCTGCGCCATGCTTGCCCTCTGTGAGAGAATGGGTGGAGAGGATGGGGACCTGCGGGGTTACAAATGGGGCCCTGCAGGGTTAGCTGTAAATGTATGGGAGCGATGGATAAAGGATAGAGCCATGAGCAGGGAGCAAGGGAGCCGCTGAGGACATTCAGTGCCACCGGAAAGAAAGTGTGGAGATGGAGTTAGAGTGGTCCAGACCACAGCACAGCTGTCCTTTGTCCACACCTTCCGAGACTCCAGATACTGCATGCCTCGGGCCACCTGGTAGGCACAGGAGACCAGGGCCGGGAAGGAGAGTGGTCCTTCGCTGCTCCGAGGCCCATCAGGGCTGAGATCAGGGCCTGGGGGGCGCCGGGCACGGAGGAATTCCCGAAGGTTTCCCTTGGCCGCATATTCCACAATCACGTACAGGGGCCCTACAGAGAGGGAAGACACAGACCAGGGGATGGGAAAGTTGGCAAGACTGTGCCTTTGCATCCCAACTGCGCATCTGTAATTCCTTCCGGCTCCAGCCCCACCTTCCTGAGTGCAGACACCCAGCAGGTTGATGATGTTCTTGTGTCGTCCAATCAGCTTCATCACCTCCATCTCAGACACCAGGTCTGCCAAATCCTTGTCGGAGGCATTGTCTGCAAAACAACAGCTGGCCTGAGGAAGTTGCCTTCCGACTCCACAAGAGCAGCATGGGATGGGGTGGGGGTGGGGTTATCAAGGAAGTCGGGGCTGAAACCCTGCTGGGCTATATGCCTCAAAAAAGCCTTTTGGGACTAGGGATGTAGTTCAGTTTGTAGAGTGTTTGCCTAGCACGAAGGCTGCATTCTGTCCTCATCACAGTATAAAACTAGGCGTGGTAGAGCACGCATCTAATTCTACCACTTGATGAATATGAGGCCAGCCTGGGCTACATGAGACAAAAACAAACAAACAAACAAACAAA